ATTATTATTATTATTATTATTATTATTATTATTATTATTATTATTATTATTATTATTATTATTATTGTTATTATTATCCGTATTATCCGTATATGCACAAAAAATGTTTTTAGACCATCTTTTTATTTTATTATTCAAAGAGAGTATTATATTTCAGAGGTTGATACCGTTAACCATTTAAACCATCAACCTTGTTGTTAGAAATAAATACAAATACCAAAACATCAATCTTTATTTTTTTTCTTTTGTGTGGACTTACAACTAGAGTTTCCATTTGTAATACAATATCAATTCGAATTCAATGCAATTCGAAGACTCAAATTTATAACGAACAAAATAAATAATTCTTGTTCGAATAGAAACCCTACTACGACTATTTGCTAGTAGGAAAAAAGTTAAATTGCTATTATTATTATCAACAACTATTATTACTATTTGACTAAATAAAACTACTATTATTGTTATTATCAATCACTACAAGGACTACGAAGGAAAAATAGAACTGATAAAAAATTATTTAATTGGATCGGATAGTGTATATACTACTACTATTACTTTTGGTTATATTATTCAGTTAAAACTTTTCACATGATTAAATTAACCCGGTTAACCGGCCAAAGAATTTTTGCACAGTGCCAGGCTCTAATTAAAAATTAAAGAGATAAAAATATTTCTAGTATTCCACAAGGATTAATAATAAATCTTGTGGAAATATTTTTACATTTATTTTTATTATTATTATTATTCAACTAACCACCGATTGCCCGATTATCTAATCGTTGAATATTTTCAACAATCGTATAAATCGGCGAATTTTATTCGCCACATGTTATTAAAACGTTACAAGAGCAAAAGCGATTTTTGCAATAAATACCACCATTGAAAATCACTGAAAATCTTATACTAATTTGTAAAGTTCATATTTCACCTTTCTGTATATAGGATTGAGCCAAGAAAAATTTTAAAATTAAATCAAAAATCGTACAACATAAATTTTTTTTTTTTTTCAAAAAAAATGAATCATTTGTATAATATTATAATTATCATCCTTGCTTCTTTTTCTACATTGAGTCATGCTCATGATCACCGTGATTTATCTCAAGTAGATGTAAAATTATGGACACATATAATTTTTATGTTTATAGCTTTTGCTTTAATATTTCCTATAGGTATAATAAAAATAATTTAACTTACAAACTATGATTAATAATTAATGATTCATAAATGTCGCTCATTTGTATATAGGAATGGTGCTGGGCTTAAGTAAATCCAAATGGCACGTACCGGTACAATCGTTAGGAGCAATTATAGGAACCATGGGATATTTTCTTGGTCATTCACATGGAGGAAAAGAATTTAGGATTCATTCATCATTTGCATCAATAGTAGTCTTTTTATTTCTAGCTCAAATCGGTGCTGGAATATATTTAAAGTTACATCGTATTATTATAGGAAAAAATCATAATCTCAATAATAAACATTTTGCAAGATCAATAATACAAAAAATTCATAGCATTATTGGAATAACTTTTCCAATCACCAGTTATATACAAATCATATTTGGCATTATAACTTTGTCTGGTTGGTGTGAAGATGATCATACGGGTCAATGCCTTGCTCATTTTATCATGGTAATTTGCATACAAAGAAGCATTTAATAATTCTTGATATACAAAACCTATTGCATTAATTATTAATGTTATTATTGATGGCAAAAAAACATTTAGGGGTCTTCATTTATAGGATATGGAATAATAATAATTATTATGTTGAAATTAGGTAGTGAATGGCTCCAGAAAAATAATAAATCTCCAGAATTTTATGATAGTATTGTTATGTTGATATGGGGATTCGTAAATACTTGGACTGAACATAGGTAATAAATATATATATTTGGAAAGAAAGTTGAAATTAGAAAATTAGACTATTTAATATAACAATACTAATTATTATTATCATAAATGAAAATATTCAACAAAGATGGAATACGCCCTGGTCACATAAAGATCTTCAAGTAAAAAATTTTCCTGTATTTTTATATATAATGTTTATAAAAATATCTTCTTAATTTCTTATTTTATTTTCTGCATTTGTGTTATTAAAGCATACAGGTATTTTGACCTTTCAACATATCAGTGCGTTCGATTGATCTTTGGTAATGCACTATTTATTTTAATCATGATTCGATATTTATTTATACAGCATTAGGAATAATTTGGTGGGTAGGTGGATTGGCTGGTTTGTATTTCACAAGAAATGGTAAAAGAAACATATTTCCAGCTCTCATCATCATATCTACAGGCTTTGCAATGAGCGCACATCAACAATCATCGGAGGTTTCAACAGTTATTCATGCTACATTTGGTTTTACTCTAGTTTCTGCTGGTTTAACAAGAATAATTGAAATTTGTTTTTTCGAAAACATCTATAAAAATAAAAAATCATTAAATAATCCGTTTTTAATTCTTCCGCCTTATGTAAGTATATCTATATACGTAAATTTTTTGTTTATTATTATTAACGTTAATTCCAATTATTTTTTTAAAAATTTTTTAGTTGTTGATATTATCAGGATTATTATTCATGGGAGCGAATGAAGAACAAATATATATTCTAGTTTCATTAAATATTGATCCTTATTCATACATTCTAGTTCTAACATCAATATCATTTTTAATATTTCTTTTCGTAAATCTTTTGATCGACTTGTACGTAAGAATCATCAATTACAAAAATATCGAAAATGGAAGTATTGGTGTATATCAAGAATTGAATGAATTGGAAATTTTATCATCATCATCATATCGTATAACACCGAATAGTGATAATGATTTGAGAAAAGACGATGGTAATGGTGATGATGTCGAGAAAATTTCTTTTGAAGTTGATAATTTGTTACCTGATAAAAATAGATATTTCTGATGAAGTTTGAATTTGAACTTCAAAAAAAAAATTTTTTAAAAATAATAAATTTCTAGAGTAATTTAATAATATATACAATTTTCTTTTTCCTTAGACATTGATTTTTAAAAATCGATATTTTTTTCACTGACAGGTGGTAATTCTATTGTAAAAAGTCAAAATATTCAAATCATAATTATCATCAACATTGCCCACAAGTTTTGGTAGAAATGACTGATTAATGATAGTAAAATCCACAAGTTCGATTTCAGGAAATAACATTACTATTATCCTAACACCAAAGTGAGAAAAGGTCAAAAGACATAAGGTCACGCACAAAGTATAAGAGATGTTCAATGATAGTAATAGATGGGAATATTCAGAAAAAAGGTTTAAATCCTGTACCGTTTTGGTTTTGGTTTTACCTGTTGTTTCCATCTTGCAACATTACTATTAATGTCCACAGGATCGTTCACAACCTTCGTTGTTTGAAGGACCGGGAGCTAGAAAAAAAGTTAAGCAATCTTTCAAAAGAGGCTCAAGACTTGTACAAATGGGACATTTACTTGACATATATTATCTCGATCAATACATCTAAACATTTACTAAAGTTGTTTGCATCCGCGTAGACATCTAATGGACTTCTCCTTGTGTACCGCACCTTTAAAATTTCAGGAGCTGCGTTACAAGCTCTACATTTCAAAAATCAATCGCAAGAAATAAAAATGATTGTAATGTAATATATATATGAAAATTGAATTTTTTCTTTGAATTCGGTTGCCCAATAACATAAGTGTACGGTGTATCAGAAACGCAAATCAATTGCCCTCTAGATATTGATTGATGCGGTGCCAGGCTTCCGGAAAATCCAGAGTGAAGCATCTCAAAAAGTCGTACCCTGCACAATATTGACTTGAATAACAAACTATCCCACAAAAGTTTCTTTGCTGAAACTGTAATCTTCACATGATCATAAGCAAATCTGTTCATGGGTTGTCATTGTCTCCTAATCGGGGAGTTTTTTGAACTGTTTGGCGTGCAAAGGCACAGTCGTTTTCGTGACAATCCCCCGTTGATCACTAAACGGATCATCAATTAAATTTTGTAGTCGCGTTAATTTTATTTCTACATAATATTATTATATATAATCACTTGTTCATATATAAAAAATATACAATGGCTAACATCGTTCATCCTCTTTGTGTTCCTTCTTCATACAAAGATCATCAATATCAAGTATTTCAAAAATTTTCATTATTGAAATTTTCAATTAAATTTTTTGCTAAATCATTATTAAATTAGGGATCTACTGTAGAACTTAGAAAAGATCTAGCCAACAGTAAAACTCTGTATGTTGGAAATTTATCATTTTATACGACAGAAGAACAAATCTATGAACTATTTTCAAAAGCAGGAGAAATCAAAAGGATAATAATGGGATTGGATAAGTTTCAAAGAACACCATGTGGGTTTTGTTTTGTTGAGTAAGTTGGAATTTTTTACTTTTAAGGAAAAAAAAAAGTACCTAATATTAATCATTGGAAAAATTTTTTTGTGAAGGTACTATTCACATGAAAATGCATTAGACTGTATGAAATATCTTAACAGTACTAAATTAGATGAAAGAGTCATTAGAACAGATTTGGATCCTGGATATAAAGATGGAAGACAATTTGGAAGGGGTAGATCTGGAGGTCAGGTATATAATAGATATATATGTTATAGAATTTATTTGTTTATTTATATGTGCAAATAATGCAATCTATATTTTATAAATAAATGAAGGTTAGAGATGAATATAGACAAGATTATGATACAGGGCGTGGTGGATGGTGGCATCTTCGTGCAAAAAACGAAGCAGAACGTGCAAGAAGACAAAAGGATGAATATGAAGCCATCACCTCCATTCCTAAGGGTGCTGGTGAATATAAAGGCAAAGGTAATGGTACACTCATATAAAGAGGGTATTAATAATTTAGATTTGAAATGCTACAATATTATTTGTTAATCAACATCTTTTATTGTTGTTGCTGTTGTTGTTACAATGAATATTTAGGAACTAAGTCAAAAAAACGTGAAAGAGATAGCGATGATCAAGGGCAAGATCGTGAAAAGAATCCACGCTTTAGAGGAGACAAATCAGATG